TCAAAATCAAACGCCTTTTTAACAGCCGCAGCTCCTAAGGGCCACTTATCCTTACAATCATCCGCCAAGTGATGCAAACTACGAGTTGCGAGGTATGGGGCGGACGCGGTCCCATATGTTACGGTATTGAGTTGATAGGTTTGAAGCTCGGCATTTGGGGACGTTCGCCACAAAATATACTGGACTTTTCTATCCTTCTCCCCACAAGCACCTGTCTATACATCTTAGTGACGTCAGCAGTGATGCCGAACCTATGCATGCGGAATCGTAGCAATTGCAGGTACAACTCATCCTGAATGGTCGGACCGACTAAAAGAAGATCGTTAAGTGACTTCTGCGATGTTGTACGGCAAGAAGCGTCAAATACGACTCTGAGCTTCGTCGAGGTGCTGCTTGGCTTGAGAACGAAATGGTGAGGAATATAATAATGCGGTTCCTCCAAGTTTGGCTTCGGTACTATGGACATGTGACCAAGACTTTCATATTCCTGCATAAACGATAGATATTGCGAGCGAATCTCCGGTAAACGAGCAAGACGTCTCTCACTGCAAAAAATCGATTGCGAGCTGTATCGACTGAATTTCCAAGACAGTTTGGGTCTTCTTTGAATGGCAAGCGCACGACAATTCGCCCACTGGCATCCTTCTGTGTTGTATCCCTATAGAGTTCCTCACAGCGACGATGAGTTGGGTGAATTTTAGCTCTTGAATCGCCGATTGAGTCAACCTTCCATAACTGCTGTAAGTTTTTGTCGATCGACATTCTACAGTCACCAGTGATAGTTTCATGGCCTGTCCTCGGCCGCATGGGCTATCGTGTGGAAGTTGGGGTCTGTGTAACCACGAGTCCTGGGGCGTTTCGGCCTGCTGTGACCCCGAGTCCTGGGGCGTGTCTGCCTGTTGTGAAGTCAGCTTGACCCTCCGAAACCGGATATTGTGGGATTGCAGGGTGGGGTTGGCATCCCACTCTTTGTCGACTTCCCATTTCTCGTCCGATCTTGTGAGACTCGGGGTGGGGTAGGTACGCCGGTAACGAGGACCCTCTTCATCCTCCAGTGAGGATACCGACTCCCAGCTTGCGAGGTTACTCTCTGTTTTGCGACTGGTCACGGTGCGTCGCCGTTTCGGGAGTTTGGCAGTAATGTCCTCGTCCAGATCCTGGGCCTCCCTGCCTTCGTCATCCGTTTCGCGGAGTGGGAGATTTACGTCCGAGATCGTCGGTTCGACGTCTGGTCCCGGTTCGGCTGGTTCGTATGCTGGACTGTTTCGAAGTGCTTCGGCGGGTTCCCGGAAGGTGTTAAAGAATTCCTGCACGTTGCGCCATTGTGGAATCGTTACGTCAACGGTCATCCGGCAGTTCTGGGTGACTCGCATGGCCCAAGGTGTGACGATGTGGTGGTAGGTTTCGGCACTCGAGATGAACTCCTGTGTGTAGTAGTCTTCATCGTCGTCTTCCTGGTCGTATCAATTTCGTGGCGGTGGTACGTATGGTTCCAGGCCTTGTTCGGGTGTTACCGGACGATACACTCCTTGGCCGAGCCGGGGGTCGCGTCTATGACGGGATGCTCCTTCGGTTTCATCCGTAGTCTCAGCATATCGGGGTGACCGGTAAGGGGTATACGTCGGCGGGTCCGGGGTAACATACGGTGCCGTTCGTGGGGCGTAAGAGGGTGACTCCGGGGCGTAGCGTGGTGAGTCGGGGCCGGCACGTGGATAGGACGGATAGGTGGTACGCCATGAGAACAGCGGTGGTGTGGCTGGGCGACAAGCGGGTGGATCATCTGTAGACATCGGAGATGACGTCAGGTCAACCCAGGCGGTCGGGTTACCCGCTGCTCGTCGGGGTGGGGGTTTGGCACGATGGGTCCGAAAGTGCGTTGACGTGGGGATGTCGTTCTCGGTGGAATCCTCATCGGAGAACTCCATTGCTTGGTGGTCGTCGGTTGCGAGTTCAGTATCCCGGTCGTCATCGTCAAGTTCCACGTTTCTTGGTAGAGTCTCGGAGGAGTTTTCCTAGCCCGAATCCATGTCGGCGGCTGCGGGAGCTTAGTTCTATATTAGGGAAATAGATGGATTATGTGATTCCGTCCTACATATTATTATTGGTTTCTGTGGTGTAGCCTTACAATTTTCTACTAACATGCTTACCAACTTACTAATGAGTGGTCATAATAGCGATGCAAAGTAGAGATAATAAAGGATTATTTGGCTTATTACTTTAGTAGGGTCTGGTTGTGGTCGTTCGGGCTGGTCTGGTCTGCGATGTCCTCGTTGTCGTGAAACTGCTTGAGGTCCGCTATGTTCGCTACTCTTTGTTTTCGGTTGCTCTGGTGCTGGAGTCGGACGACATTTGGTAAGATGAAGCACTTCAGTTTGTACGGTCCGTCAAACTTGGGAGCCAGCTTCGCAGCGAATCCGTCGGCTGCGTTGGAGAGGTGCTGTTGACGCACGAGAACCAGAGATCCGATGGTAGGGCGCCATTGTCTTCTACGTAGGTTATAGTAGCGTCCTTGTTCCTGGCTTTCTTGTTGGATATTGTTGCGGACGATGGCAAATACTTCCTTGAGCCTGGTTGCTTTGGACAGGGCTGATTCCGGGGGGCTTCCAGTTCCAGGCGTGACTTCGTCGTATAGAGCGCCGGGCAGCCGGGGTTCTCTACCGTGTAGCAAGAAGGCTGGGCTGAAGCCAGTTTTGTCGGAGATACTGGAGTTGATGGCTAATGACATCTCTGGTAGTAATGCGTCCCAGGTGCTTTGATGTTCCTCTACAAACTGAGCTATCATCGTTTTCACAGTCCTATTTGCCCTTTCTGTGGGGTTTTCTTGAGGACAGTAGGGTGCTGTATGTTGGAGCGCTACTCCTGCCGACTTGAGAAAGGCTTTGAACGTTAAACTGGTAAACTGGGTTCCATTATCGCATACGAACACCTTCGGTACTCCAAAATGACTGAGGATTCGTTCCCGAAAGGCTCGTTCAATTTTTGCTGTTGCTTTCTTGAGCGGGACTAATTTGACCCACTTGGAAAAGGCATCGAAGAATAACAGTAGTGTTACCTTGTTTGGATCGCGGGAACGGTCCCACGAAGTCGGCACACAGGGTTGCAAATGGTTCTTCGGGTCGGCAGGTGAGCATCTTCTCGGCGGGTTTTTGTTGCATGGCCTTAAACTTTTGACAACTGACGTATCGTCTCACGTCTCGGTACATACCCGGCCAGTAGTATCTTTGTGTGAGACTGGTGATCGTCTTTCGCACGCCGAGATGTCCGGCGGTGAGTTGGTCGTGGCCTTCGTGCAGCACTCTCCAGCGACGATCTGTGGGTACACAAAGCTTCCAAGCCACATAATCGTCATCGTCGGTTCCGTGCCGTATGTTTCGATAGAGTTGTCCGTTCTCTTGTGCGTAATCCGGGTATTTCTGGGGTTCGTCTTGAACTTGTTGTGTCCTGCGTTTTAGCCAGGGGCAGTCTGGACAGTGCGTCTGGACAGTGCGTCCGCCACGACGTTTTGTTTTCCTGCCCGATAATGTACATCGTATTGGTACTGCTGGAGCTCGAGTGCCCATCTCGCCACTCTGCCGTACGGGCTGTCAGGGGTATTTAACCATTTAAGGGCGAGATGGTCGGTAATTACGTCGAATCTGTAGCCTTCGAGGTAACAACGTAGCTTTCTAATTGCCCATATGACTGCCAAACATTCTTTGTCCGTGATCGAGTAGTTCTCTTCTGCCTTATTAAGGCGTCGACTCACATATGCTATAACCCTCTCCTTCCCTTCGATCTCCTGCGTGAGGACGGCACCTATTCCGAGGTTGCATGCATCGGTTTGAGGTGAAAATTTAGCGCTGAAGTCAGGGCAAGCAAGTACTGGAGCGGTGGTTAGTAGTTCTTTTAGTTTGTCGAATGAGTCCTGTTGTTCCCGTGTCCATGTCCATGCTCGTCCCTTCTTGAGAAGTTGTTTCATTGGTTGAACTACCGTAGCGAAATTTGGTACAAACCGGCGATACCACGACGCCATCCCTATGCATTGCCGTAGGTCTTTGAGGGTGGCGCGTGGTCGAAGATCTTTAACCGCCACTATTTTGTCCGGATCGGTATGAATTCCTTCCTCGCTAACCATGTGCCCTAGGTATTTTCTCCGGCGTTGGAAAAACGTACATTTGTCCGCATTGATACGGAGATTAGCCTGACGTAGACTTTCTGGACGTGTTGTAGGTGTTCCGCGAAATCCTTTCCAACGATGACAATATCGTCCAGATAGGCGAACGCGAATGGTTCCATATCCGCCACGATAACTGTGTAAAGGGTCCGTTGGAACGTGGCTGGGGCGGAGTGGAATTCAAAAGGCATTACCTTCCATTGATAAAGACCTCTTCCGGGTACCGTGAAAGCGGTGGCTTCCCGGCTAGCGGCGGCCATTGGTACCTGCCAATATCCGTTTTTCAGGTCTAATGTCGTTATGTAGTGAGCATTCTGGAGTCGTTCTAGGATATAGTTTATCTTTGGCAATGGGTGGGCGTCCGGAATAGAGCGTTCGTTGAGTTGTCGAAAACCTACACACATTCGCCACTTTCCGTTTTTCTTGCGAACGAGCACAATTGGGGCACTGTGAGGACTTCGTGATGGTTCAATGAGACCCTCGGCCAACAATTGATCGACTTGTTCATCTATGATGCGCATCATGGCCGGATTCTTCGGATAATACCGTTGTTTTATGGGGCGACTGTCCCTCATGACAATGGTATGTTCTGGTTTCGAACTTTGGGAGTTCTTCGGAAAGAAATTCGCGGATGTGTTGTGCTATGTCTGGAGGCCAGGGCTGTACGTCTAGTTCGGGTTCGTCTTCGGCATGTATGTTCATTTCTATGTCGGCGGTTTCAATAGAGTGATCGGGAAGAATTGTCGTGTCGAATGCGCTTGGATGGTCTGGTCGGGTGGGGTACTCGGAAATGTTGGATATGATGGGTGCAGCGTATATGTCCCTCGGTTCCCTTGTGGTCCTTAAACTAGTGATCCTTGTCCGAGCGTTCGTGACAGTTGCTCGTGCTCGCTGTGGGTGTTCTCGTGATGGTGGTCTCGGTGGCCATTCTCGTGCTTGTGGTCTCTGTGGAAACCATCGTGTTTGTGTTTCCTGTTGTTATCCTCGTTATCGTGTTCTCTGTTGCTTGTTTTTGATCCTTGCTCTCTGTCGTAGCGGGGGTTTCTGTTGGTTTCCTTGCGTTTGCGTTCTCTGTTGGTGATGTCGTAGCCATGGTGGTTTGCCTTTGAATTTTGTTCTCCGTTGAGGATGTCGTGGTTGGGTTCTCTGTTGGTTGTCTTGCGTTTGCGTTCTCTGTTGACGATTGCGGAGCCATGATTGTTTGTCTTCGGATTTTGTTCTCCGTTGAGGATGTCGTAGTTGGGTTCTCTGTTGTGGGTCGTTGGATTTTGTTCTCGGGTCCTTGGGTTATCACATGTCTGGCGGTGGTCATCGGCTCGTTGTCATTAATGCAAACGCCTCGTAGATGTAGGCGAGTGGTTCCGCATTGTATTGTGGTTTCTATGGCGCACAGAAAGTCCATCCCCAAGATAACACTCTCCACCATGCTTGGTAATACCAAAAGGGTTATCCGTACCTCGCGCATATGTAGTTGAGTGGATGCGAGTAGGACTTGAGTAATGGGTCTCACTGACCCGTCGGCTAGATGGATCTGAATTAACGCGTCTCGTAAATTTGTGTCTGTAATTAACCTCTCGGCAAGAGCTTGGTTCACGAAACTTCTGGTTGCTCCTGTGTCTATGGTTGCTTCTGTGGGTCTTCCTTCAATTTTACCCATCGCCGTCATGTATGTGTAAGGGTCTTTTTGATCTTGGGTTCAGGATGGCGTCGTTCTCGGTTGTTCCCGTCGCAGTCGAGGACGCACCTAGTTTCCCGACGTTTCTCGTTTGCAGCATCTGATGCCTCGTTTTCCGCATTCCCAACAAAATAGGATAAAGCTATTTTGGCAGCTTGCCACCATGCCGACATGCCGTGCGCACGTTGGCAATGGGGATGCGTCGTGCTGAATCATTTTGTTGGAGATCTCTTTACTAGGTATAATGCGTTGCGTTGGGCCAGGTTGACTAGTGAGATCTGTCCGATTATAGGAGTCTTGGCGAAACCGGTTCAAAGTCGGGTTTCTTTCCAGTTCTCTGTGCTCGGAGTGGGTCTGGTGCGTCTTGATGTACTCTGAGGTGACTTCGCTTCTGGTGAGTTCCAGTTTCCGGTGTCGGTCAGTTCCTGAATGCTTTCAAACTCTACGGCTAACTGTGTTAGCTGGGCCAGAGTTCGAAGTTCGTGTCTCCTCACGTACAGTTGGTATCCTGGTAAAGTATTGTCGTAGATGCGGTTGAGTTCTTGGGTCGTATAATACCCTTCGTGTTACATTAGGAGGCGGATCTCGATGACGAAATCCTTAAACCACTCGCCCACCGCTTGTTCTCTAAAGGATCATCGTGCCCGTTGAATTGGATGCCCCAGTGCCTGATACTGTCCGCCATCTGGAAGGCGTGGGAGTACGAAGTGTTGTGGTGGTTCCCAGGCTCAGTGTGTCTGCTGGTTTCGTCCGGAAATGGCAGAGTTCTCCTTATGGGTATCGGACTGGCTTCCGGCGACCGGAAACCTTGGTGAACCTCCCTCGGATATCAGGACTACAGGTGGCACATTGTTTTTGGCCGCCGCTGGTGGAGGAACGGGTATGCCAAGTTTGTGATCGAGGATCTTCTTCTTCTCCTGTGATGTTTTGGCGCTTGGCTGCGGTGATGTGGAGCGTCCAAGAGACTTGGAATACTGTCCTTCAAGTTCCGCCAATCGGATCCAGACGTCACGAGTGAGTTTGTCTTCGACGAACGTAGCGAGAGTCCTTCTCAGGTCATCCACGGTGCCTTCCTTGGCGAACCCGAACTCGTCGGCGAATGCTTCGAGTTCGTCTCGACGGCGTTGATGTATCCATCCGGTTCCCACCCCAGGATTCTTGATTATTTATGCAGGGTAATACTCACTCTGGTCACCGTTGGTTCTTTGATCCATGCTTGGATGTAGAGCTCGTCCTCGTAAAAATGGAGGGTAGGCGTAGCGGTATTTATTGCTGGCTAGTGTAGTTTTACCGCACTACTGTCTTGTCTATTCCAGTTCTTAATTTATCTCCGCACGGTTTGATTTTCGGCACTGGCAATGGAAATGCGTCGAAATTTTATTCTGTTTAAGATTTGCACTGTATCTGCCTTGCGATGATTTCTCGGACCGGCACTGTACTTGGTTCGGGAATGTTTGACTTGAACTTGGCTTTTTGGACCGGCACTGTAGCGTTGTACTGCGATGTTTTTCGTACCGACACTGTATTGTTGTACTGCGATGACTTTTCGAACTGGCACTGTAGCGTGGTACTGCGATGACTTTTCTGACGGGCACTGTAGTGTTGTACTACGATGATTTTTGGATTGGCACTGTAGCGTTGGTTGTTCGCGATCTCCAATATGTGTGTTTGTGTGTGTGATTTTGCGGTACTTGCGCGTGTATGTTGTGTTTTCGGTGTGCGGCGCAAGTTTTTAGGGTGCGGGCGTATGTTTGTGTGTAGGTTCTGGTATATTTACACCAAGCGCATGTTTTCTGTATCTGGCTGCTCTTCGTACTTTGTTTCGACTGTACTTAAAGCAAGTGTTTGGTCGCTTCGTTTCAGTAGGGCTTCGCCTCGAATAAAATCTCCCTAAAGTCCCTGCTCGGGCGCCACTTTTGAGGAACCTATTTCAGGCTGGGGTAAACTCAGTCTGTCCAGGGTCGGCTACAAGAAATTTTTAGTTGTTGTGGGGACTTCAGGCGAGGGGCGAGACTAGACGAGGCAATGCCGTAGCCGCGCTGGGTTTGGTGTGAGCCACCAATGTCTGACCGGTGTCCCAGGATGGATCTTGGTGGATCGGTACTTTGAGCGGTGGTTGATCCCGCTACCTGGAGCGTGTGCTTGAGGATAGGGGACGGGCGGGGCTTGGAAACGAGGTGGGTGGGGCAGCGCGTCGTCGCGAAGCCACCGAAGGCTCGAGAGGATCTAGGAGAGGCGAGGCTGAGCAGTGCGTTGTCGCCAAGGCTCAGAAGGATCAGTAAAAGGCGAAGCAGAGCAGTGCGTTGTCGCAAAGGCTCAGTGGGAACAGGAGAAGGCGAGACAGAGCAGTGCGTGGTCCCAAAGGCTCAGCGGGATTAGGAGAAGGCGAGGCAGAGTAGTGCGTTGTCGCAAAGGCTCAGTGGGAACAGGAGAAAGCGAGGCAGAGTAGTGCGTTGTCGCAAAGGCTCAGTGGGAACAGGAGAAGGCGAGGCAGGTAATGAACCGGGCTGAGTTGGATATGCGCGGGGTTCGCATAGCCATGGACACGTTCGGCGTTCGCGGCGTGTTCGTGTGTTTTCTGTTACAGAAAACAGATACGCGTGGTTTTGAATGGCGAGTTAGGCGTGGCGAGGCTATGTCGGCGTGTACCGGTGCGTAGCTAGGAGTTTGTCACTCAGAAAATGTGCCTCCGCGTGGCTTCGAGGTTTGTCGCTAAGTGATCGGCTGCTCAAATCTCTGCCTGCCTCGAACGCTGTTGTTTTCTTCTTCCTTTTCGATAGCTTCCTCCTGTTCTGTATCGATAGTTTTAGGGGTTGCCACCTCGTCCACCATCTTTAGTATTTTGGTATTAACTGATCTCACGCCTTCAGTGGCGGGTTTATTTTCTTACTTATAATTACTTATATAACTATTTATTAATTAAAAGAAAAAATGAAAGATGATATTGGAATTTGGCCTTCAGTGGCGGGTAGCGTTGTGGATGGGGGCTAAAAAACGAGAAGGAACGTGTGTGGGTTGCTTCTGGGGACGCGACTCTACTTATACCAGTATATACATTTTTGAGCTTATGATTTTTTAGAATTTTAGAATAAAAAAAAATTTTTAATCTTACATTTTTTGCTACATCTGCTATCTACATCTACAATGTATATTATACATCTGTTCAGGCCAGCAGCGCTGTTAACATAGCAGCGTTAACAGTCGGTTGACAGCGTTGCTAACAGCGGACTGTTAGCTCGCTCTCTCTCTCGTGCCCTTTGCTCTTGCGCTGCTCAGTCACGATCCACTCGACTCTCCAGCACTGGCGCTAGCATTATGCTGCCCAAAATACATAGTGGGAGTCTCTGTTCAACTACGAACCGATTACAAGCGCACATCAACCCCCAGCTGTATCAATTACCCGCAAATATACGCAAACATGTAATTGACGCCCCCGACTACTTTTATTTGGGAATACGGTCTTTGGGGACGTCCAACATCCACCCTCCTGCAATCATTGGTCCTTCGGGCCGGATCTTCGCCTTCCCTATAAGGAGGAGTCCAATCAGCAAGAATCTGTGGATTACATTCCGAAGATAAGTACGATTGCGTCTTCCCAAATCGATTCCTAGTGCGATTGGTCTTATTCCCGCGAAGTCCAAGTTCCGCGATACATGTATATTCTTATATACATATGTGTTCATCCATTGCTATCCAGTTTCTGTGTCGTGTTCCTTTTCGCCAACGCCATATTATCGGCGATTCCGGCTTTTCTCGCTACTTCGACTCCAACTACCAGTGCTACGGTAGTTCTCTAATTTGATTTGTCTGTGCATCCGATTTCTCCACTGTGAATTAACAAAATAAATCACCATAATCCAGCCCCACTAACTACAAGTGCATTCCGAGCATATGTACATACATTCCAGACCATAAGAGCGGCTTCCGTAACAAATAGACGAACATACCTACATACACCGGGACCGGGAAGAGCTAAGCCTAGACATTGGGAGGCCATTTATAGTCAATGACTTAATGGATATCCTACTTAGCTCGCAAAACAATTGGGATGCCGTGAGCACCTACGCTGCAGAGATCATCCAATCCTTGCGTCGCGCTGAAAGACGTCCTTCATGCCATCTCCCCCTCGCGAAGTAATATTTAACGGTCGTACCGCGAAAGGGATAAGGAGAGTAGGGGGGTTTTTAGTGGGTGAGGTAATTCCAAGTCCCACACTTATCGGCTTTCAATGCTTTTCCCCTCCTATACATACAAAAAAAAAAAAAACCTACATACACATTCCAAATTACACGACCCACCCCAATAAAAATACAATTGGCATAGTACATTGGGTTGAGTCTGTTCTTCTTATTTCCGATCTGGTTAATAAATAACTTGTTTGATCGAGAGCATTTTCCTCGATATAGTTGTTCAAGGATGGGGGTGTGTCAATCTCCAGTGAGCTAATTATACTCGTTGCGAAGAAAATTGCTGTAGTCCAAGAATACTGCGAAAGTCGAGGGGGTTCAGTTGAGTACTAGCCAATAACTATTTATTCGGTTTCTAAGTGCATGAGCACTGAGCATAAGCGGGCTTCTAATGTGGTGAATTCAATTTAAAATTGAATGCAAGAGCGTAACAAAGAGAGTAAGAATGAGCGTAAGATACTACAATGCGAGTCATTTAAGTGATTATTATATTATATTATATTGTGACATTAAGAGCTTGACCGAACATAACTAACGTATAATCCCAAGTGGTCCTAGCATTTA